TTCTAAGTGAAACTGGGGGGAGCAAAGTCTGAGACACTGCTGGCTGTGAGAATGGAGAACAGACCACCGGCAGAGGAATGCAGGAGGTCTCTAGAAGCAGAAAAAGGTGAGGAAATGAATTCTCCCTTAGAGCCCCAGAAGGAACACAGCCCTGCCAAACTGTGAGACCCAGGTCCGACCTCCTGAACCATAAGAAATCAAATGTGCTATCAGGCACCTGGTTTGTGGTCATTTGTTGGCATAGCAGTAGGAAGTTAATGTACCCATCTCTGCTGATAACTTACTTAAGGAATCTCCTTATGATCCTCACCAGGGTTCAGACTCCACAAGGACAGGGGCCCTATCTTTGGTGCCCATGGTTATAGCCAGCATGTGGACATACTCTCGTGAAACTAACCCCTCCAAGGGTTTAACTTTTGTGGTTTGACTCTTATTCATTTTAGTGGAGCCTTCTAGGTCTTTGTGTGAATTACAAATAAAGGGGACTGACTTCAGCCAAGGCATGATCTCCTTAGCATGCCCTGTGCATGCATTTATTCCTCCACACCTTCCCTATGCTGGTTCCTCCATCAAGAACGCCCTTCCTGGGGCTTCCCTGCTGGCCCCGTAGTTAGGGCATCACCTCCCAGCACAGGCAGTGCAGGTTCAGTCCCCGGTGGGAGAGCGAAGGCCCCACATGCTCCTGGCGGGAAAACCAAAACATAAAACAGAAGCAATATTGTAACAAGTTCAAAAAGGGCTTTTAAAATGGCCCACATCAAAACCATCTTTAAAAAAAAGAATGCCTGTCCCTTCTTCCCTTCAACTCTTACTGTTGCCACCCAGAACAAAGATTAGGAATGCATGGCCCTCTCTCCTCGTGCATTAGAACACATCAGAGAAAGTTTCCAGGAAGTCCCAAGGCTATAGTCAAGGTTGCATTTAAAGCATGCATTGATGACTTCGGGAAGTGAGCTCGTCAAAGACACTGGGGACTATGAGACATTGGTGTATCTTCAGAGATTGCATAATTCACTCAAATTCCCTGTCATGAATGATTGTCTCCTAATAGGGTGGCAAAAACCATAATAGAAACCTAAAATGCTTCTAAGCATGAGCTAAGGGAAAATATCTGGGCTCATTTAGTATAAAGAGGAATGCATTTTACATCTCTGCCTTCCTACTCATTACATTACATCTTGGAAGTTCAACAACCTGAAAGTCAGATTCTTCCATCACATTAAGGACTTGCCGATGACTTATGGCTTTGCATTATTCAAGGGTTTGTTTAATCAGGATTTACTTAATAAAAAAAGAAATGATGAAGCAGGTTTGACCTTTAAACTCTTGATGTCTGGTTTCAGATTTGGGTCTGCGCTCATCTAAAAGGAAGATTTTGGCATTGAAAGCAACTAAATTGGAAGCTTTTCTTGCATAACAGTTATACATTGTTTTCCTCTGAAATGCCTGTGTATCTTCCTCCTGTGGTAATAAGTTCTCATCACTGGAGACCTGGATGAAGTATCACATTGTTCCTGAAGCCAGGTGGGGAAGTGAAAGGAGTGAATTTCATTAGGCTGATTTCTGCTATCAGCTTGGAACTCTGTAGTTTGGATTTCCTCTGGGACAATATCATTCTTTATGCTTTTATAAATGTTATAAATAATACTTTACTAGTTTTTGTGAAATGTGAAATGTTTGATGAAAGGTTATCTTCACGAATGAGGGTTATCCAAAACTGCAAAGAAATCACTGTTCTTTCTATCCTTTTCAGACAGAAGAACTTGAGGCTTATAAAGATCACTCACCCACGCTAACCTCTGGCCACAGTAGTGAGGGGTCAAGGCGAAAACCACTGATGAACACAAGTTCCTCATTTTCCCAACAGCAAGATGAAGGCTTGTTTGAGAAAAATGAAATTTCCAAAAATTACTCCATGACTTCAGATCAAAGAAGTGTTAGAAATGCCAACTGAAATGTTTTCCTTCTGGTACCATATTTAGAGATAATTCTTAGGGAATTTAGGTCAGAAGCCTGTTTTTCTGATTCTGTTGCCATGAAGGCATGGTGTCTACACAGTGTGAAGTTCTCCTGGACCCCTGGTGGTAGAATTGATAGGATATGAGGGCTGTATGAATGGGATGGGTCAGAGTGATGGAGGAGTTGACGATGACTTTTGATTTTCACAATTTCAACATTTCAGTCCGTCTTTTTAGAAAATCTCTCTTCATACATGGCATAAATAAGCTTTTATCCACAAAATATTATCCAAGAAAACATGACTGGGTATGTACCTAGCAGTTGTCACTGGGAATATCTTTTTAATATGAAAAGATGTGTCATGCTATGAAGAATCCATAACTTTGCTCAAGTCAAGATACATTACACCTGTCACCTTCTTCTCATCTCTAAGCCCCATTACCCTGTCATGGGAGATTAGACTCATCAGGCCGAAAATGGTCCTTCAGAAAATCTTTCAGGCTACTGCCTAATTCTCTGTTCTCTTCTGTGGTATCACATTTTTTCTCAGTAAGCATTTCTTAACTATGTAAGAGACTAGATATCTGGCTTACAACTAACATAGCTTCTAAAATAATTGAAAAATTCACTTGGATAATGTATAGAATAAAATAGCTGAATTTCAATTAACTACTTGACAAAATAGATAATTTTCAATATGCTAATATTCATTTGCTCTTGACTACAAAGGGAAGATGTAAAATTTGTTGTATATAATTACTTAACAATTATTTACTTGTGTTCTAATGATATTATAAGCTAGGAGCCCAAAACATCTAAACCTCTGGGAATACCAGGTTTCCAGTCTTCATTCCTACTCAGCTCCACCAAGAAACTCTGTCCTATATTCTCTGCTGCCTCAACTTCAGCAGCTCCACCAATATTGGCTCTGGAAAATTCCCCTGTGTGTTGTTAGTCTCAGTCATGTCCGACTCTTTGTGACCCCTTGGACTACAGGTTGTCAGGCTCTTCTGTCCATGAAATTCTCCAGGCAAGAACACAGGAGTGGGGTGCCATTCTCCAGGGCATCCCAGGGATCCAACCCGGGTCTCCTGCATTGCAGGCAGATTCTTTACCATCTGAGTTACCAGGGACGTTTCCCCGAAGGAACCTTCCGTCCTGTGACTGTGTACTGCTGCCACATCTCAGAGGGTCGCCCTGCAAGTGCCGTAACCACGTACGACGCATCCCATCTGATCTTGTAGTCAACCTTGGCCACATCCCCTCCTTCGGACCAAGGTGCTTAATAGCTAAGCACCATAAATCGGGTGACACTTCTGGGAAAGGAGGTCTGGGGTCTCTGAGAAGGCAAGGCAGGAAGACAACGTTCACTTGGCATCTGTGGGAAGCCCTCCCAGAGGAGAGGCCGCGTCCTGGAAAACAGGTAGGAGTAAGCCAGGCCCACATAGTTAATGGCTAATGTTGAAAATCCAGGTCAGCAAGAAGGAAAAATCATGAGGAAGAGGAGACAGAGAAGGAGGAGAAGGAGGAAGAAGAGGAGGAGAGTTATATTAATTGAAATCTCAGGGTGTAGAGATAGCCACTATATTTTTTACTATCTGGCGACAGTCCAGTGGGGTCTCAGAGTCAATCACCATGGAGCGACCTGAGCACGCACACATGCCCAACCATTCTATATGCAAATACAGGACAAATGTATACAATGCTATTGTGTAAACATAGATTGTATTTGATTCTCCCCCGTGCAACTGGACAGAACGCATCATATACATCCTGAACCCCAAGCAGAAGTGTCTTCGGGTTCTTGAACAATCCTTGAGTAGTTCAGGTGACCCCACCTGACAGCTGACCGACAGGGCAGGTTTTCAGGTGGCAGAGACTCAGCAGCATCACTAGGATGCACCGCTAACCCTCACAGTGATGTCTGATCCAGTAACTTCTTTCCAGCACAGTTAAAATGGACAGACAAAGAAAGCTTTGTCACACATGCACACAGACACACAGGTGAATGAGCACGCACAGGGCAGCTGCCTCTCCCATCCTGGGTTCTCAGATGCTGCTTGAGTGGGAGACATATTTCCCGGGTCAAATGGGAAAACCGCCAAAATCCCGACTCATCTTTGTACTTCCTCAGGTTTTCAGTGACCTACAGCTGGTGAATAGTTTTCTAAGCACCACATCAAAAGAGAAAGTCTGTGGGACTCTTTGCTCTCCTTCTCTTTAAAAGTTGTTGGAGTTTTGTAAAAGTAGAATAGGTCTGTGGAAGCAAGTTAAACACGATATCCTTCGTTGGTTTGTGGACAGGTGAATGTCTCACAAGTAAATGGAGTGTAGAATGTAGAATCTTCCCTGGAATTGCCCCAAATCCATGGATCTTCAGTATTTAAAGCAGGAGTTTTGTGGCCACTGGAAGGACTAAGGTTTTACAAAAATGCTAAATACCTTCTGTTGGTGAGATGGTCTTACTTGAGCTGGTTTGGGTTTTATTTTTCCCATCCCAGAGGCATTGGGGAAAACCACTAGAACATCATTTACCCTCCAGGTATATTGACCACGAGGACCAGAAAGAGTGATGCAAACTCCCCCTGCTTTCTGATTTTCAGTGCACTGTGATTGCGGGGCTTGGTGTGGAACAAACGTGAGTTCAAACCCTGGTTCGCAGCTTGCTGTCTGTGAGATCTGGAATAAGCCATGTCCTTTCTACGAAGGCGTCTCCTTCCTCTGTCCTACGGGATAAGAAAATAAAGCCTGATTCCAAAATCAAATCTCCACAACTAGTGCCAACGTCCTTACACGCCAACATCTCACAGACCCGATGCCTCTTCTCCCCAGTGCAGAAGCTTAAACTGTTCACAGTGGGTCTTGGAGTCCTGGGATGCACCTTCTGGCTCTTCTGCTGGATCGTCTGGAAATATGCCAGGGACCATTTCGCAGGCACAGCCGTCCCCCGCCCTGCTTCCGTCTCCTGCTCGGCCCTTGGCCACAGCCTCTCCTTATGCTCCTTGGCTGGGGGCCTGACGGCCCTTTGACAGCGATTCGCTATGACACGGGCCTTGGTGGGGAAGGGCCCCAGACAGGAGATGAAAGAGATGGTGCTGGTACCTCCACTCAGCCCTCCCTGGCGGGACTTGCCAGCCCATGTCCGTGACCCCGGGACCCCTGGCGCTCCGTGGGCACCGCAGTTTCCCACAGGGAGCCTGGTTCCTTCCTAGGGACATACTTCACTGTGTGATTTTTCTCCTCCCTTGATTGTGTGAATGCAAGTGAAAGTCGCTCAGTCGTGTCCGACTCTTTGCGACCCCATGGACTATACAGTCCATGGGATTCTCCAGGCCAGAATACTGGAGTGGGTAGCCTTTTCCTTCTCCAGGGGATCTTCCCAACCCAGGGACTGAACCCAGGTCTCCTGCATTGCAGGCAGATTCTTTACCAGCTGAGCCACCAGGAAAGCCTGACTATGTGAGAAGCAGATCCAAATTTGTGCAGCTACCTCTCAGGTCCTGTCCCCCACTCAGCACATGGCAGCTTTTTACTCCACAGCTCCATCAGCCAGCTCCCTACATTCCTCCCCAGGTCCCTCCTAACATGTCTTTGGCTCAATAGAAGGCAAGTTATTGGTGGCTAATATCCTGTGCACATAAAACCTTTTTTAAAAAAATTACTAATTTCAAATGTATGCTCAGTTGCTTCCAACTCTTTTCGACCCTATGGGCTGTGGCCCAGCAGACTCCTCTGTCCATGGGAGTCTCCAGGCAAGAATAGAAAACGGGAGTGGGTTGCCATGCCCTCTTCCTGGGGATCTTCCATACCCAGGGATCAAACCTGCATCTCTTATGCCTCCTACATTGGCAGGCAGGTTCTTTACCACTAGTGCCACCTGGGAAGCTATTCTTGAAGATGGAGCATTGGCTGGACTAGGCAACGTTTGGAGAAGGAACTTGAAATTGTTGCTATAGAAACATTCATTCGCAACATTGTGGTTCTTTAGCCTTGGGGAGAAAAGAGTCACCGCGGCTGAGACTTACCTTCTAAGAGTTGGAAAGACTTTCTGATAATTTTGGGGAAATATTTCTTTGATGCTACCTCAAACTTTTGAATGAGGACTATGAGATTCAAATATCAAAAGCAAACTTCTTCTTATTTTGAAGAATAACTTTTACCCCCTAAAATTGAAATCTAATCGGTTCCTTGGGAGGCAGTGAGCTTCCTGCCACCTTTGATTTTTCAAGTAGAACTGGGATGGGCACCATGTAACTCTTGGAGGAAAGCCTTTGTTCATGATTCATCTATGTTACCACCTTGTAGCAATTCTCACAATGTTGACCTCTTTAGAAACATTAGGGAAGTGTGTAAATGATTCAGTCATTGAAGCCAGACAATCTGAATTCTCCTTGAATAAGCTCTAAACATGGGTTATTTCAGGTGTACACCAGAGCTCTAGACAATATCCTTGCCAAACCTCAAGGTGCTTGTCCATAAAAAGAGGCTGCACAGGTGCCCCTCTGGTCTCTGGCTGACGTTCTGAAGCCCCTCTCACTCCCTGCTAACCTGGAACGGGACTCATCCTCATGGGCGGCCCCGAAATAACCCATCTGCACAGAAGCCTCCCTGAGCACAGCAGACTTCCCTGAAGTGTCGGGGTGGAGGAAGGCTTACAGGACATCCTCCGTACAAAACAAGTCACAGAAATGGACAGACATCTCCCAAACTCCCTTCTCACCCGTGCCTCCTCACAGGCTGGTGGGCCGTCTTTGTTTCTCCTCGCTCCTCTTTCTACCTACCCCCTCGCAGATACTTATTCCAGCTCCCCTTTCTTTCCAGATTCCAGCCCCACACCTACCTTCAAATCCCTCTGCTTTAATGCAATTCCACTTTTCACGGCTGTCTAAGACCATCAGATGCTCTTCAAAGAAGGGATGTACAGAGGACTCCCTCCTTGGACAGTTTTGTGCATGCATGCTCAGTCATGTCTGATTCTCTGTAGTCTGCCAGGCTCCTCTGTTCATGGATTCCCCAGGCAAGAATACTGGAGTGGGTTGCCATTTCCTTCTCCACAGGATCTTCCCAACCCAGGGGTCAAGCCTGCATCTCCTGCATTAGCAGGCAGAGTCTTTACCCCTGCGCCACCTGGGAAGCCCCGAGAAGGCTTTATACTGGGTTATTTTTGTGATTTCACTTCTACCTCAGAAAACTCTTAAAAATATTTCTCCTGAATAAACATATTGCCATATTCATAAGAAGACTTTTCTTTCTTTTCTTGATTCAGTGAGTTAATACTAAGATGCCTCAGCTGTCTTGTTTATAATGTGATTCATTATTATAATTGAATGCTGTAAAATGCACAGCACCCATTGTTCTGTGCTCCTTAGAGGAAAGAGATAAAAAAGGAGGATGACGATATGTATAAATGCCAAAAAAACTTTCTGAATAAATGAGTGAATTCATGTATGCCATGAGGAAATTTCAAGTCAACCAAGGTGCTCTGGACTGAATTATACCCCTTCCCTCATTCATTGTTGAACCCCTACCTCCCATTGTGATGGCATTTGGAAATAGAGTCTTTGTGAAGCTATTAGGCTTAGATGAGGGTGGGGCCCTTGGGATGGGATTAGTACCCTTATCAGAAGAGGAAGTGACACCAAATCTCTCTCCATCCTATGAGGACCTCTTGAGAAGGTGGCCATCTGCAAGCCATGAAGAGAACTCAACCATGATGGCTCCTTGATCTTAGATTTTCAACATCCAGAACTATGAGGAAAACATGTTGTTCACTGTAAATCAATTATACTTCAGTAATTTTTTTTTAATGTCTGTCATTTAAGCCACCCAGTCTATTATATTAAAAACTGCTTGCTCCTTGGAAGAAATCCATGGCAAACCTAGACAGCATATTAAAAAGCAGACATTACTTTGCTGACAAAGGTCTGTATAGTCAAAACTATGGTTCTTCCAGTAGTCATGTACAGCTGTGAAAGTTGGACCATAAAGATGGCCAAGCAGAAGAACTGCTGCTTTTGAACTGTGGTGTTGGAAAAGACTCTTGAGAGTCCCTTGGACAGCAAGGAGATCAAGCCAGTCAATCCTCAAGGAAATCAACCCTGAATAGTCATTGGAAGGACTGACACTGAAGCTGAAGCTCCAATACTTAGGGCACCTGATGCAAAGAGCTGACTCATTGGAAAAGACCCTCATGCTAGGAAAGATTGAGAGCAGGAGGAGAAGGGACGACAGAGCATGAGATGGTTGGATGGCATCACTGACTCGATGGACATGAGTTTGAGTAAACTGTGAGAGATAGTGAAGGGCAGGGAAGTCTGGCATGCTGCAGTTCATGGGGGTTACAGAGAAATAGACACAATTTAGCAACTGACCATTCATTCAAAGGTTGAGGAGCAATATCAACAGGATAACCCCATGTGTCTAGAAAGAAAAGCCTTACCTGAAAAGGTCCAGAATGAGGCACAGGAAGCTGTGCTGGGTGAGTGACAGGCGTGGCTGGCTCATGTCAGCCACCAGAGGAGGCACCACGGGACTGACATGGCCCATAGCTCTGGAAGGGGGTTGATCAGCCTGCATCTGTGCATTTAATTTCCTGGCGAAAGGCACCTTTCTACTCATCACATTTTCAAACACACACATACAGACCAGGGAAGTATTTGTAGGGAGTTGCTGTTCAGTTGCTCAGTCACTCACTCTTTGCGACCCCATGAACTGCAGCACACCAGGCTTCCCTGTGCTTCACTGTCTCCCTGAGTTTGTGCAAACTCATGTCCATTGAGTCGACGATGCCATCCAACCATCTCATCTTCTGTCACCCCCTTCTCTTCCTGCTCTCAGTCTTGCCCAGCACCAGGGTCTTTTCCAATGCAGGGAGAAGGCGTGCTACTCCAGGAGGCCAACTCCCTTGCTATGCTGTCTCCACGTGGGTTTGATCGTGAAGGTCTGCAGCTGCTCCCAGGCCTGATAATCGGATTATTCTGGCAGAAGGACATTTCATTGCTAATTAGCACAAGGAGATCTTCCAGGCTTCTCGGGTTGGGGCCTGGCGGATGATAAAAGGCCTGAGTCCTGAATGGTGCCCTTTGAGATGTTTAAATGGGTTTGGGAGAGAGCCTGTCACATCTGGTTGCTGTGATAATTAGATTATGAAACAGGGAGGGAGAGAAGGTGTCCAATATAATCTGTAGAGACTCTGCCAGAGCCTGGAGCAGGAAACTGGCCGTGAAGTTGACCTCCAGAGGGTCACAGTCAACGTGGGCCCCAGGGCTGGAGCTGGGGGCACCAACTCAAGGAAGCTCTTTTTGGTGTCTAAGGGCTGTTGAGGACATCTTGTCGAGCGACTTCCAAATATCAGGCACTTGGTGTGTTCATTTAAAAATATAGGTTTCCAGGCCCTGTCCCTGCAAATTCTAGGTCATTGGACTTGGCTTTGAACCAGGGGTGAGGCCTGCATTTTTTAAGTTCTTAAGTAGCACTTTTTAATGTCTACAGTTTAGTAGTCCCTCACCTAGTTCAGCATTGACATTTGGCAGATGGAAATGAGAAGACATCCTGGAGACAGTGGTAACAACGGAACACATGCATGCTTCCTGGCAGCCCTGCAGTGGTGGCTGTGTTTGCCCAACTTGACAGATGAGGATACCGAAAGTCTGAGAGGACCAGGGACTTGTCCACAGTCAGCGGCCAGTCAGCAATGAAATGAGACTCAGCAGTGCCTCCCAGGGGGGCCACTGAAAGCACTTGGGCAGAGCCCACAGGCTTATCACCATCTGGTCCCTGCAGGGTTGCTGAAGGCAGTCACTGGATCCCAGAGGGAGGGGGCGCTGCGTGGGGAACAGCATCTAAGATGAGCTGTAGTTGCCAAGGACACCGTCGACCTGCAGAGATCTTGCTGGGAGAGGCAAAAGAAGGAAGACCCTGATGTTGCCACCTCCTTGTTCTCAGATCTCTGCCAGGGCTCCCCTGTGAGCTTGGAGCAAAGTGAGAGGAGTAGAGAGAGCAAGCAGGGAGGCCGGTAGATAGAAAATTTACAGCACACAATTTGCAGGAGACATCGGAATGCAATCAAGTAGAATTTTACAGAGATAACCTTGAATTG